CTCTTTCTCTCTCTCTCTCTCTCTTTCTCTCTCTCTCTCTCGCGCGCTCTCTCTCTCTCTCTCTCTCTATATATATATATTTTGCTCGCATGCACTTGGAACAAGGACATCGAAATTATGGAAGGAAATGAATAAAGGGAATGGCAAGATGATTACATTTAGAGAAGTAATTATCAGCTAGTTCTTAGCAGTGATCGATATAAAGTAAATTCGGTTGGAATTCGATCGCTATCGCAACGATTAGCTGACGCTTCATGGCAGACGATGTCAAGTGCTTACGGACTGTGTGAGCTTCGTGAGACGTGAGATTCTTGGTCGACTTATACCAATACCACGAAGCGCACGACGCATGTGAAAAGCACTCCATATTTATAGCCCGAGGTTATATTCCTCTACAGTAGGGTTTACACGAATTTCCTAGAAATTTAACACGAAAAAATGACGGCGGATTATTTACGCACCAGTTGCATTACGACGTACGACTCGCGCGCGACCTCGCGGTGAAGGCGATGGCAGACATAACTCATCCATATCTGGAACCTTAGCGCGCGAGTATAATAAACGAACGCGGCGCCATTTTGATTTGATTTACGCACCGATTAGAGGTTACCGCTCGCAAACCAGCGGGATAGAATAAATTTCATCAACTCTTCAACTCGAAAACACTAGTTCAATAAGTTGACAATATATGCCAGCTATGATATTAGCAGAACCCTGCGGACAAGCCATTACACAGTGGGGCAGCGCCGTATTGATAAATCAACGAAATTTATTGCCGCCGCCATTTTCCGACCTCGTTTCTGACAACGCGCGACTTTTCTTTCGCGACATTAATTTCGCCTGACAGACTTCACAGACTCACACGCTCGCACGGCGCATGCGCGGTCGCAGCACACAATGCACCGGAGACAATACGCGAGGTCGGCTTTTGTAATCGGAAAATGCGTTAATTACCCAGAAAAAAAGGCCCCCCACGCGGGTGCGGTTGGAAACGCGGTTGTAAGGTGGGCGACGCAGCACGGAGGGCTCACGTTATTAAGTAACTGATGGTGTAACGAATCCATCTGTGTCAAATTGTCGCTTCTCGCGGATCGCACAATGCCGAGTGACAGACACGCAGAGAGACAGTATCGTCGCCATTGTTTGACGTAACTAGGCGAGCGAGCGAAATACCGCGATGAACGTAGTTCGTACGATGTTAGCCCTAGAACGTACTATAGCCCTTCGATCTGCCACAGACAGCGCGCACACAGGCAGCACTCGCCTGTGGCAGAGCGAATTAAGGGCTATAGTTGTAGATCTAGCATTATGTACGTGCGTGAGCATGCGCAATGGTACGCGAGGGAGCGGACGTGGGCAGGTATAAAGGCAGGTGTGAGGTGTGAAACGATGGTGGGTGGGGGAGGGACGGGACTGGGTCGTGTGTTTTACGCTAGTTCACTAACCTGGCGCCGACTCACTCTCCCTGATGAGAAATGTTCCGGTCGTGTTTCCGGTCGCCTTGAGCAAGCGCTCGGCTTCCTTCCGAGTCACGTGACCAAAGTTCCAGCTGCAAGGATGGAGAATGAGAGTTGGGTTAATAGTTATCGGGTTGCCTGCATGTGTGAGCATGCGGCGTGTACTGTGCGGCAGTCAACCATCACTGCTAATGCTGTTAGGTTTCTTAGTAGATTTCTTATTAGGTTTCTTTATTACTCGGTTGAACCGTAGTCGAATCCAGATGACAACATTCGGGGATTGTGATTGATATTGATGAATATATAAACTCGAATGATTTTATTATAGTAAAATATTTCGCGATTCAATTGCGAAAACCCGAAAGCCTTGAAATTAATGACTTTATTTATTAATCACGTATGGTAGAAAAAACAAGCCAGTCTAATTTATGAGTAAGCGACACAGTAATCTATACGGTGAGCACATTAGGGAACGCGCCGACCGAATGGGAGTCGCTTGTGAATGGCTAATGAGACCGCTTACAAGGCAATCACCATTGATAGCTGCTTACGGTGCACGGAGGCTGTAAACAGGTGCGCGGGCCGCGAGTGCATGGGTGTCTAATGGCGTTGTCTAATCTCCGCTCGTGTAAGGTATGCGTGCTTAGTACTACTGCTCGTATATATACGGTCTAGGTATGCGTGCCTAGTACCCATGCTTATATATTCAACTCTAGGTATGCGTGCCTAGCCCCCATGTTCGTATATATTGCTCAGGTGTGCGTGCCTTTCTCCCTTGCTCATATACACGGCCGAGGTATACGGTCCAGGTGAGCATGGATGTCTGCATAGTTCACATACTCATAGATAGGACCATTCTGTGCTTGCGTGTTTAGCTCCCATGCTCGTGGGAGTGCATGCGTACACGCCGCTGTTGGGTTGGCGAGCAATGCTATAGGGAATCACGCACCCATCACACCGCGTCCTTCACGCTCTCACGAAGGGGAAAATCCGCGGCGTTTATATCCGTTTGATATCGTTCTAATGTCGTAGACAACGGGGTCGATAGCGTGTGTTGTGTGTGTGTTGTGTGTGTGTGTGTGTGTGTGTGTGTGTGTGTGTGTGTGTGTGCGCGCGTGCGCGTGCGTGCGTGCGCGTGTGCGCGCGTGCGTGCATGCGCACG